CGAGTCATTCTACAAGTAAAATTGATCAAGTTAAATTTGAGTAACTCTCCAAACGATACGGAATCACTCTAAGGGAAAGTAAGATTCGAATACCTTGTTTTGATTGAATATCTGAACGTAAGAACACTTGTTTGAGATAATTTTAATACATTAATGAAGTTCATATATTGAACAACATTTTTTTTCACATCTTCCTCGAAGTTCATATTGCATGATTGAGATGTCTTAGTTCGTATCATAATATAAACATCCTGATTGAAGTTCCAACATTGTTCATGACCAAACTTTTAAGGATATTGAAGCTAATCGAGCATTGTATTTAACAGAGCATCTGTGCCACATCAGTTGCCTTATGGACCACCTGCAATTTTATCATGAGTTCATCGACGTTGAGTATGATTTGATCAAGTTGCATGGCCTTGCAGGTACATTTTATATAATTTAATGTAGAAGTTAAGCCCATTTATTTGTTTTATGCTCAGTTTCAAAGAGTTACTTTGTGATAGCTATCAGTTTAGCAAACTCTTATTATTTTGTTCTGCTTTTTCGTTGCGCTCTGTATATAGTTCGAATTTGTATATAGTTGGAGTTTTAGTTTGTTAATTTGCTTATTGTCACAAGTGGAGCCTACCCTATCAAACTAGTTGTGGTAGGCCCAAAATTTTGACATTATTAGTGATATTATGAGATTTTCGAACTTTTTAATCTCAAATAAAGAAATATATATCAATTATTATTGAGTTATACTTATGTTATTTCGACTATTTATCGTATGGATTGATATGGACGTGTTATAAATATCCTTATACGTTTTTTCTCCAGTTGCTTTTATTTCCCATCTCGTGTAAACTTGTAGCTTGAGGTGGCTTCATGTGGCTCAAAGATGTGCACGTTTCGCTTAGACATTTCCTACCCGAAATTAAAGAAACTAATGAATTCAAATTACTTCAAGCTCTTAATCTTATTTTATTTTGCTAAAATTTATAGCTATATGCATGTGAATTTCCATACATAAATTCGGTTTAATAGCTCGATGATCCAAAAAATATGAGAAGTATCTCGGTGTGCATGTTCGACTTGCAATAGGGCTTGTTTGCAATTTGGTAGAGCAAAGATCCGTTATTTCAAACGTAATCATGAAATTTTAAAAGTAGCATTAATACCATTTTTTTAAAAAAAATTAATCATTAATATATGGATAAATGTCTATACTTCGTAAGTTTACGAATGTTTCTTAAGAATATTTTTGAAACTTGGTATTAAAGGTTTAAAAGTTCAACCGTATTTATGAATTTTTATTTTCTTAAGTTTATTATTGAAAGTTTGGAAAGTTTTTCTCTTCCATTTCTCGACATAGATACTCGATTAATTTTTAAACCATGAAGAACGAGAGATGGGAATAGGGGGTCAAAGTGACGAGACACCAGAATCGCATCATCTTACGAACCAACAACAATTATTTCTTATGAGCAGGAGGAAATAAAGAAGATTGAAATTAATCCACGGTTTCGGAATGTGGGGTGGGAAAGACAAATCTACAGCATAGTAACAAACTCATTCCCATATTCATTAATTGCAAAGCTATAATTGACCAAAGCAATTCCTTCCCATGTTATTAGCATCCAAATTCGGGTCTTTTCTCATTACCAAGTCCGACAAATCACTCCCTTAATCTTCTCCTAATCTCTCTTAGGATCCCAATTAAACAAATTGATGATCCAACATCCTCGTACCTCTCCACAACTATGGGAAACAAGAACAAGCTTGAAGATCCTGAAAAGAAATCTGTGTCTTCCCCTTGGTCTCGTACCACTCCCCTACAACAACGTTCCACAACGTTTCCAGGACATAGAAGCACTCCTCTTTGGATCTTCCTCTTTGTCTTCATTCTCTACCTGTTGTACTCTGCCAACATTCTCGTCCTCGAGCGCCACGAAGAATGTCCGACGGCCGTAGACTCGTCGACCGAAGTACATATACGAACGCTCACCAACATCTCTTCCACCAACAACATCAATGACAACGACAACGACAATGACAACGACGAAGACGACGACGATGACAAGTTTTTCCCATTTGATGAAGAGGAAGAAGAACAAATGAAAATCGAGCCTGTTCTTCCTTTGAAGTCGCAACGGTACGACACGGAGCTGAAACATATCGTTTTTGGGATTGCTGGGTCGTCGAATTTATGGTCGAAAAGGAAAGAATACATAAAGTTATGGTGGAGGCCAGAGGAAACTAGAGGGGCTGTTTGGTTGGATAAGAAAGTTTATGCTAAGAGAAATGAAGGGTTGCCTCCAATTAGGATTTCAGGCGACACGTCAAAGTTCAAGTACCATAACCGGCAAGGACAAAGATCTGCACTGCGGATTTCAAGGGTTGTTTCGGAGACTTTAAGGTTGGGGATGAAGGATGTGAGATGGCTTGTGATGGGGGATGATGACACCGTTTTTATGGTGGAGAATGTTGTGAGGGTTTTGTCCAAGTATGATCATAGGCAATTCTATTACATTGGGAGCTGTTCTGAGAGCCATGTTCAAAATATTTACTTTTCTTATGCAATGGCGTACGGTGGAGGAGGATTTGCTATAAGTTATCCGTTGGCTCAAGAGTTGGAGAAGATGCAAGATCGGTGCATTCAAAGGTATGATCGATCTTTGAAAATAGTAGCACATTGACACTCTTATCTATCGAGATATATACTTGAATTGGCAGGTACCCTGGATTGTACGGGAGTGATGATAGAATTCAAGCTTGTATGGCTGAACTCGGAGTACCGCTCACAAGAGAACCTGGGTTTCATCAGGTATTACAAGTGATATTATTATCCGTTAATTTCGTATAAGTTTTTTGTTCAAAATTTCATGTATCATATCGTATAAATATGTCTACTCGAAGAAAAAAGGGTTTCATTAAGAACATAACAAGGTGATTGTATTTAGCTTATTTGTTGTGTTGCATTATGTAGTATGATGTATATGGAGATCTATTGGGACTTTTAGGAGCTCATCCAGTGACTCCATTGTTATCCCTTCATCACCTTGACGTAGTTGAACCAATTTTTCCTCGAATGACTCGAGTCAAAGCCCTTCAACGCTTATTCCAGGCTGCAAGACTCGACCCATCAAGCATAATGCAACAATCAATCTGCTACGACAAGAAACGTTATTGGTCTATTTCTGTTTCTTGGGGATACGTGGTTCAAATCTTAAGAGGTGTACTCTCACCTAGAGAGTTAGAAATGCCTACCAGAACCTTTCTCAACTGGTATAGAAGAGCCGATTATACTGCTTATGCTTTCAACACTCGACCTGTCACCAAACACCCTTGTCAAAAGCCCTTCGTATTCTACATGGGCAACACACGTTACGATCGAGGAAAAAAGAAAACTATTAGTATGTATTTTCGTGAAAAGTCTCGCCACCCTTACTGTCGCTGGAAAATGAGTTCACCTGATAAAATTGAATCTATCATTGTCTTGAAAAAGATTGATCCTCATCGATGGCAGAGGGTAAGTCTTCAAATTTTGGTTAGATAGTTCGTTTAAGTTATTATCTTCCATCTTAACGGTCTTCGATCCTAGTTCGAGGGTTAAAAGCACATAATTTCTATGTTGAATTTGCAGTCACCAAGAAGGGATTGTTGCAGAGTTCTTCCATCACATAAGCCCTCCACATTGTACATATCAGTGGGCAGCTGCCGTGGAGCTGAAATCAGCGATCTTGATCAATGAAAAGTACCCATCAAAATCAAAGACTTTTTTTGTTCAATTATGTCTTTATACCTCAACTTCTAAAGGATTTTTCGGAGACATTTAGGCTCAAGTGAATATGATCAAAGCTCATAATGGCATTCATTTGTTAGCCTTAATGATGGAATTCTCATGGTTAGCAATCTCCAACACGGATCGAAACTAGAGGGCTAATAGAATCTAAATTTCGAGTACTTCCCTGTAGTTTGCTTTTGTTTTTCTTCTACTTTTTTGTTCTTTTTTGTCCGAGCAGAGGCCATGTAGAAAAGCGATGATACTCTGTAACAACAACATTAAGAACTTGATTCTTCTTCTTTAGAATAACTAGAGAACTCTGGAGAGAATCGACCCAAATAAAACTTTTAAAAGAATTGCTAAAAAATAGAAAGACATCTAAACAAATATACGAAATAAAAGAATTTTGGAGTTGTCATGAAGAAAAAATATTTGGATAGCTTGTTCATCATTTGGAGAGGGGAACAAAACATTCCTTATAAGGATGTGGAAATCTTTTCCTAGTAGACTCGTTTTAAAACCGTGAGGTTTACGGCGATATGTAACAGACCAAAATAGACAATATCTACTAGCAGTGGGCTATTATAGAGAGGTGAGATCCCACATCGGTTGGAGAGGGGAACAAAACATTCCTTATAAGGGGTGTGGAAACCTCCCACTATAAACGCATTTTAAAACCATGAGGCTGACGACGATACATAACGAATCAAAGTGAACAATATCTACTAGCAATGGGCTTGGGCTAATACAGAGGGGTGAAATCTCACATCGGTGGGAGAGGGGAACGAAACATTCCTTATAAGGGTGTGGAAACCTCTCCTTACTAGACGCGTTTTAAAACCCTACATCGATTGGAGAGAAGAACAAAACATTTCTTATAAGGGTGTGGAAACCTCTCCCTAGTACACACGTTTTAAAACCATGAACTTGACAATAATATGTAACGAACAAAAGCAGACAATATCGGCTAACAGTAGCCTTAAGGTGCCATTCACAGTAAGAGAGGTCCCATTCACATAAACAAGCTCTAGACTCTCTATTAAGAACATTAACAATGGAAGTTTTACCTAAAACAGCACGGAAATCAATGTTCTAGAGTTGAAATGAACGAGTCGAACAAAACTAAAGTGAAGTTTTGAGGGAAAATTTGACAGTAGAGAGTTTTCAGAGACACCCTATGTTAGTGTATATATATATATATTGTAGACAAAGAAAGAAAAAAGAAGCAAAGTTGAAGTCATTAATGGGAAGGGAATTTTTGGCTATAACTATAACTTGGAGCATGGTTCCTACATAGGCATCTTACATACAAAAGAACCTCAGCTCACATTTATTTACATTGGAGGATTACGTGAAAGCAAACAGATCAGAATAATGGCACAAATTCTCAGCTTTTGACTCAATTTACTGAAAGATAAAGGATCTTAGCAAGTACCTGTTACCATCTATGACCCAAAAATTGATAACGAGGCGCTTCATAAGAATGTTTCTGAACAGTATTCACCAGACAGTTCCACGACATATCCTCGCCCGCCTCACTCTCTCTCTGACTCGTCGTCGTCCGAAGTATGCCTCTTATCATCGTCCCGTTCCATTTTAGGAGAAGGTGGTCTCTTTTGGGAGCTATGGTTTGGTTGTGTTTGAGGATCGTATTTCTGGGAGGCTAGGTAGTTTAAAGCAGTAACCACGTCGGATATAACTGGACGCATGTTCGGTTGCTCCTGAACACACATTGCTGCTATGGCAAGAGATTGGTATAATCCTCTCACAGGATAATGTCCTTGAAGCATTGGATCAACCATTTGTGAGAACTTCTTCCGGTCTCTGAACAATGGTCGCGCCTGCAATACCAGATGCATCGTAAGCCCTATGTTTCAGAATCTACTAAGATCCATAGGTAAGAAAACCGACCAACATTGTGTATCTGTAATCGACTTTTACAGATGTTCAAACTAATTGAAGATGATAAATGGTACAAATAGATGCACCCGTCATTTCCGTATCATGCTATAACAGATGTTCATCAGGCATTAGACGAGAACATTCGAAGTATTATCCTAGTCAGTCAAATGTTTGATTTTTATGAATCATTTTAGCATGAATTTCATGAAGAAACAAATCTACAATGACAATCATATAAGTTGAACTAGAATACACAAGAAAATAGGCGAGCCATCGTACCCAAGCAACAAGATTTTGTTCCGAATGAGGCTTTGAATGATCGATCGCTTTCCTGCCAGTGATGAGTTCTAATAAAACAACACCAAAGCTGTAAATATCTGATTTGAACGTCAGCTGACCGGTCATTGCGTAATCTGGTGCACAATACCCATATGTGCCCATAACCCTGGTTGAAACATGGGTTTTATCCCCACTGGGACCAACTTTAGCTAATCCGAAATCAGATAGCTTTGGATGATATCCTTCACCGAGCAAAATGTTCGAGCATTTCAGATCACGATAGATAACCGGGGGCTTCATCTTCTCATGCAAATACTCCAAACCCTTCGCTGCACCTGCTGCTATTTTCATTCTTGTGTTCCAATCAATTACCTTTACACCGGGTCGAAGATCTACAAAGAGTGGAGCACATGTCAAATAATCAGAAAAGGTAGTAGGCTAAAAGATTATAAGTCGTGAGTCAACGAATTACGTACCGTGTAAATGGTTTTCCAAAGATCCCAATGGCATATATTCATAAACCAACAGCCTCTGATCCCCTTCAGCACAAAAGCCAATGAGTTTAACAAGGTTAGGGTGATCAGCTAAACTTAAAGTCAAGACTTCCACAACAAACTCCCGAATTCCTTGAACTCCATTGCGGTCGAGTTGTTTGATTGCAACAACCTAGACCAAAGCAAAAAACGGGTTAGATTACTAAACAAGTAGAAGCACACAACTTCTCTTAAATAAAGAGAAAGAACATTATATTCTATACGAATATCTAGCTTGCTTAATAATTTTAGAATATGAGAACTATGAGATCCCACATCGGTTGGAGAGGGAAACGAAGCATTCTTTATAATGATGTAGAAACCTCTCCCTAGCAAATGCGTTTTAAAAACCTTGAGGCGATACCCGAAAGGGAAAGCCCAAAAAGGATAATATCGGCTAATAGTGGGTTTGGGCTGTTACAAATGATATCATAGCCAGACATCGGGGGATGTGCTAGTGAGGAGGTTGAGCTCCAAAGGGGGGTGGACACAGGACAATTTGCCAACAAGAACATTGGGCCCTGAAGGGAACGAGTGACAGTGAGAAAGCTGAGGATGCTAGAGAAGGGAACAAGTGACAGTGAGGACATTAGGCTCCGAAGGGGAGTGGATTGTGAGATCCCAAATCGATTTGCCAGCAAGGACGTTGGACCCTGAAGGGAACGAGTGACAGTGAGTACACTGAGGACGCTGAAGAAGGGAACAAGTAACAATGAGGATGCTAGGCTCCGAAGGGGGTGGATTGTGAGATCCCACATCGATTCGCCAACAAGGACGTTAGGCCCGAAAGGGAACAAGTGATAGTGAGTACACTGAGGATGCTGGAGAAGAGAACGAGTAACAGTGAGAACACTAGGCTCTAAAGGTGGGTGGGTGGATTGTGAGATCCCACATCAATTTGGCAGCAAGGACGTTGGCCCTGAAGGGAACAAGTAACACTGAGTACACTAAGGACGCTGAAGCAGGGAGCAAGTGACAGTGAGTACGCTAAGGACGCTGAAGGAGGAGTGACAATGAGGACGCTGGGTTTCAAAAGGGGAACGAAGCATTCTTTATAAGGGTGTAGAAACCTCTCTCTCGCTTGGAGGGATGTCCGAAAGGGTAAGCACAAACAAAACAATATTTACTAGAGGTGAATTTGAGCGTTTTCAATTGTTTTTCGTTTGAATTATTGTTTTATATTTACAAAAAAGAGCTCCAGAAATGAAAAACGATTCAGTTAAACTCACTACACTGACCTCACTAACTTGCTGCAAGTACCCTTTATAAACTTTGCCAAATCCTCCTTCACCCAAGAAGCAATCTGACCTGAAATTACCTGTTGCAGCCTTAAGTTCTTCAAATGTAAAAGTCTTAGCACGGCCATTGGTTTCTCCTTCCTCAGAAACTTCATCTTTCAAATTCAATTTCTTAACATCTAAAGCTAATTGATCATCTTTAGACACAACAACCTTCACATCAGAATCCCTTTTCACTGCTAAACTTGAATTTACTTTGGGTTTATCTGTAAAAACGCACAACAAAAGAACAATAAGAAACAGAACTCTGTACTTACTTCACTTCACCTTAATCAAATAAAGAAACCAAGAAATGAAAAGGAATATCACAAATTATATTAAAATGTTCGACAGGAAGTCCGACAAGACGACAACAAGTTGAATAAAATTTTTAAAAAACAAAAAGACAAACCAAAATCAAGGTCAAACAGAGCCGATTTCGCCCATTTGAGAGATTCTTGGAGAAATTAGGGAAAATCACCTGAAGGAGTTCGATCATCGGGCTTGTGAGTTTTGGAATTGAAGGTGTTAGGGTTGTTTTGTTCGATTTTCTCCGGTTTCTTGCTCGATGAACCGAAGCAACAAAAGCAACCCATTACAGATTAGAGCTCTTCCTCCGCCGCTCCTCCGCCACTCTTCCCTCTGGTTTCTGAGCTCTAAAAAAAGAGCCGACAACAAAAACAAACACAATCAACGAAATAAAAAACCTCACCGCCGGAAATCCGAAGACAACGGGAGAAAATAGCGAGAGAAATAGAATCGGAAAAAATGGAATGAGAGAGCGAGAGAGAGAGAGAGGGGTCTGGAAATTCGGATTTTAGAGCAATATTAATTTTGTTTTTTTTAAAATATATAAAATACATATTCCTGGGTGCTAATATGCTGTAAACCGGATTATTTTTTTCCACGGCATTGATCTGTAATAACAAGCCACGTGTAACACATGGGGGCTATTTCGTAAATTGTGTTCGAGGAGAGTAAATTTAACCTGCGGAGTTAGTTGCATTAAATGAAGGTTTTTTAATTCAAGAAGCTTGCCACGTCATCAAATATGTGGGGCCCATCTGAATATTTCAAAATATAGAATTAAGGTTTTTTTTTTCGATTTTGTCGTTTTGGGGTTAGTCAACAATTTCTCGATTGTGATTGGGTAGTAGGGGAGAGAGTGTAGTGGACTCGTTTGTAGGGGATCTTGTTTGGAGAAAGTAATCCCCTGTGGTCGCTTTCCCGTATGGTACACAGGAGATGTCTCGATCACCGTTCGATTTTTCAATCCCGAGGTAAGTAAATAGAAAAAAAAAAGATCTAGAAATTAAAAAACAAAAAAGGAAATTTGGAATAAATAAAAGAAGTCGAAAGTGAGGAAGTCAAATTTATGTGGGTCCCACGAAAGCGTCCATCTTTTGGTGGGTCCCACCTACCGACGCGTTTTATTTATTTATTTATTTTGAAAATGTTTTTTCTTTATTCTTTTCACCCTCCCTCCTTGCCTACATTTTTTTTTTTTAATTTTAGGTGAGAAAACAAAATATTTTTAAATTTTAAAGTTTAGATAATATTTCTAAAATTAAATCTAAAATTATAAATATAAACTTGATTGAATGAGACAAAGATTTTCGGTTTAAACGGATAAGTGGGACCGAAGATAAGAATATTTTTTAATCACAGTATGACTATATATATATAGACAAAAATTTAATTTTACAAAATCAATGTCCAGATCAATAAGGGACTTCTTTAGAAAAAGGAGAATGAAAGTGGCAGTATCACCGACTACAAGTCTGAGTCACGAAATCGAAAGTGCAAATATTCAACATCGTGAATCAAGAAATTCAGGTGATAGATGAAGGTGTTGGTTCGTGCCTTAGGAGCAATCATCCGCACCTGGGTATAAAAAGACATTTGAAATTATTACCCGAAGAGAGTTTATGGACCAAAAAAAAAAATTAGAAAAAAAAAATATAAAATTTATGTGGTAATCAAGTTAACCAAAAATTTAATAAAAACATCACTTTTATATGATTAACAATAATCATTAATACAAAAATGTTATATAATAAATTACATGAGATTCTCACCCTCTCAAGTTTAATTCTCGGAATATGTTTCTTTTCTTATTATGAGCTCCACACCATGTTCATGTGAAAAGTCGAGTTTCTGACCTGTTTGTTTATCAAATAGAGTCTTACCCAGGAAATTTATAGATACTTAAAATTAATTTTTATTAGGTAAATTGTTCTAATGGATGCGACACCCGAGTAAAAGTGACATTTTATGAATTTTCATGTTGTTGGAATAATTTAGTGTTAGTCGTCCTTCTGGAAGAGAGAGTGATCATTTTAATTTACTTTTTTTTTTATTTTTTTTAACATTTAATAAGTTTCCTAAATTTAAATATTTTTAAAATTTTTTTAATTTAAATGAAAATTTGAAAATTAAATAAACAAAAATTTTAAAATTTATTGGCTAAATTTAATTTTGAAAAAAATATGGAATTAAATGCCAAAAAGAATTCTAGAACGTGCTTTTATAATGAAAAAGCCCTTCTCCTAAAAGGACGTTTAAATTATTATTAAGATTTTCTAAATTAATGTAATAATCATATTTTTTTGAAAATGAAATATATATTTATATTTATATTATTTATTTATTTAAAAATATTTATGTCAAATTCACTTAAAACCAACGTTTTAAATACCGATCTTGAGGTGCCAATTTTTTAAAAAATAAATGAAAATATATATATATAATGTGATAGATATTTATGACAAATTTATAATTATAAATAATTTGTAGAAAATATTGAAATTAAAAAAAATAAATATTTCAAACCTTTTAAATAAGTCAAAATTAATATTAAATTCACATTAATAATATTTATTGACATTTTAGTTATATTTTGTTGACTTTTTTATGATGTACTAATTAGGGTTCAACATTGATATAAAGGATTAATCGATATTTCTAGTTTTTTTTTTTAAATAACCATATAACATACAAAAATATCATATATTAATCTTAATATAAATATAAATATTATATTAATTTATATAAAATTTAAGGTAAATTAATAAAAATACCTTGAAATTTTGTATTGTTCTCTCAAAAAAAAAAAATCTAAAAAATACCTTTAAATTTTTTAAAAACTTCAAAAAACACCTTCAATTTTTAAAAGTCCAAAAATACCCTTACCATTAATATCATGTTTCAAAAATACTCATGAACATTAAAAAGTTTTAAAATAATTTATGGGAACGTCGATAAACCGTTTCTATCTATATATTAACGATAAGAACTTTTTTGTANTTTTTTTTTTTTTTTTTTTTTTTTTTTTTTTTTTTTTTTTTTTTTTTTTTTTTTTTTTTTTTTTTTTTTTTTTTTTTTTTTTTTTTTTTTTTTTTTTTTTTTTTTTTTTTTGTATAAAGATAGAGTTAAGGCTACTTTTAAAATTTTATGAGTATTTTAAAATAAAATAATAACGCCCCTTTAAAGGTATTTTTTATATTTTTAAGTTTTTAAAAGTTTAATAATATTATTGAAAAGGATAAAATTGGTATTTTTATTTATTTGTCTTAAATTATATATTTTATAGGTACATTTTTTAATATTTGTAAAATTATTGGGGTTTAGAATACCCAAAACTACACGTCTCCACAAAAATGGTTACATTTTTAATTCAATTGTGGCTTTCAAGGGTGACACTTGGCCAACTTATATCTAGTTCCTTGATTGCATATCTATTATATTATTCCTATTATTTTATTAAATAAATAAATAATTGTGTCTATTTATGCTAAATTAATAAACATAAAGTATCTTCGAATTTTGAAATTTTTCGACAAAAAGAAAAAAAAAATACATATTGGTTGAAGAGAGGAACGAATCATTACTTATAAACGTGTGAAAACCTCACTCCAACATATGTATTTTAAAACCATGAGACTGACGATGATATCTACAAGTGATGGGCTTGTGTTGTTACAAATTGTATCAAATCTAGAAACTAGGTGGTGTGCCAGGACGCTTGCTCCCAATGGGGGTGGACTTTTCAGGTCCCACATTAGTTGGAGAGAAGAACATGGAGGACGCTGGCCCCCACGTTGGTCTAACAGATGCGTTTTTAAAACCGTAAGGGTGACAACAATATATAACGGACTACAATATTGTTCATTAATGAAACCATGAGTACCTCACATACCATTTTTCTTCAATTTTATCGTGAATCTTTCTCTAAATATTTTCAAATATAAATATAAAAAATTTCAATTTAGTTAAAGTAAGTCGGAATTGAAAAAATCAAACTCTTCTATCTCCATGTTAATATATATATTTTTAATTAATTTAACATTTATTTATTTTTAAAAAGTTGACTTTTGTTTTTGATAATTGTTTTTTATTCCTTTTTTGGAGAAATAGGGTTGTTTAATAATACTTAATTTAATTTAATTTTAAGCTAGATATATTAATTGATTAAATAATTTTTATTAGTATTTTTTTTAAAAGTACAAAATTGATTAAATTAAATAAAATCCAAAAAAGAAGTCAATTATGTGAAGTAAAAGTTACAACCAAAGAGGTAAAGCCAGCTGCCTATGCATTATTTAAGCCCAATTCCATGACTTGTAAAGCTTTCAAAATGACCTAAAACCCATTCAATTCCTTAATCAAATTTGATACTTCCATTTATAGACATATGATGTGTTCATCAAATATATTAACGGAACAAAACATGTTCGAGATTTGAATCACTCTACAAATAAGATTGATCATGTCAAGATTCAGTGATTCTAAGGATTCAACATAAACGACATAGAGTTGCAAAAAAACTTAGTTTAGGCTGAAAGAAAACGAGAATTCTCTTTTTAGTGTATTTTTCATGTGACACTAGAGTAAAACAGAGGTACATGAATGAATTGAGACTACATCTAAATGAGGGTTAACGATGAAAGCTGGAAAGGACATGAAAGTTGAGTGATTGTATTACTAACCCCAACAGTGAAGTGACTAAATACCACAGCTACGTGCTACCTTTATTTTTCAGGTAAAGACAAAGTGCTCATGCATGGATGCTGGTGAACGCTGGAAAAGCCATTGAAGTCAAGATAAAGTAGTAGTATGCATTGATTTTCAATTAGTAGTTTATACGTGACTTTTAATTTTCATGTTCAAATATTATGTTATTTTTATTTTCTTGATTTAAATTAAATATGCAAGTCCATGACTTCGTTTGAAATATATTTTATTTTAGACATGCATGTTGTGACGTCTCTAATTTAGGCAAAAAAAAAAAAATTAGGGACGTTTCGGTTAGGGCCACACAACAATTCACACTCAATCTAGATAACACAACGTTCAAAGATAGAAAATATTAGGAGAAATATTGGCTAAAGGTTAATGACTTCAAATATGTACGACTATTTATTTATATATTTATTTATTATATATCATTATTGACTGTATATGACCATTTATTATAAATGACATTTACCATATATACCTATTTACTAAACCATGTATGACAATTGAATAAGATATAAATAAGCCTCCGTACAATAAATGGAGAGTTCACCAACTAATCTTTAATCGTGAATCCAACTCGACTATTTGGAGTATGTTCAACATTGTATTTGTTTATGAGCTGGTAGAACTAGAGCCGAGCCTAGAATGCATGAACCTCATAAAAATCATAATAAGCTATGAAATATGTGCCGGTTTATCCTATGATTCTTTCTCCCGTATATATCTTTGATTCGAGAGTCAGAACACTTATTCTCGAGCAAACTTGACTTGTTGATCTTGATCGTACCGAAG